TTGAAATTCTTGAAGCTTCCTAACATCATTTTACGCTTCAAGAGGTAGGGTTTTCTCTCTAATTAAGTTTATTTCTAACCTAAGGTGATTATATGGAATGAGTATAGTGTTAGAGATATATAAAACTTTCCTATTGTTGTTAATTTGATAAAATGGGTATTGAAACTGAGTCAAATCAATTCTAGCATGAATTGGTATTTAGAAATTGCTAATTTGTAATTTCTTGAAATATTATGATATGTGGGCATGTTGTGTTATATTATGCCTTGGAGAAATAAGTGTATTATTTGCATGAGATTATGTAATAACATGCTTGAAAATTATTGTTGGATAAAATGTTGATATATACTTGGTGATGTATGGACATTAAGATAATTTATGGTGATTATATGCATATTATATAATTAGCTATGAAATATGTTGAAATGTAGTTGAAATGGTTCATATGACACTCTTAACATATTGAACATAGTTGAGAATTGCAATTGTATATATATATATTTGCATAAGCACAAGAAACATTGCATTTGTGGGCATTTGACAAGAGTGTGGATGTGTGTGCATGTTGTTGGATCAAGCACCATTCTTGGTGGTTGATAAATAGGCTCGGTACAGTCGGACCAAGGTTTGACATAGTTGCACGATTGCAAGTAAAACTTGTGTCAAGTATAGTAAGAAAGACTAGATACTCCCTCGAGTGCAAGACCCGGTTACTGGTTTATACACTTCCGCCGATGAAAGTTTAAACAATGATACATGGTTTATTTTTAAAAATGTCGTTGGATGTGCAACATTAATGGCAAGGGCTTAGAATGCCCGATTTTATACTCATAACATTGCATGGGTGATGGGAGCCGGTAAATGTTCGGGTTGAGTTGTATGTGTGAATCTCATCTCATAACATGACATGACATGACATAAAGGATCCATCATTGAATTTCATTTTCTTGAATGGATGATTGTTGCTTGTTGAATTTGCATGTGAACATTTTATATGCATCTAGGTTGGAGAGTAGTCTTTTTAGGAGATACCCTATTGAGTGTGGCTCACCCTTTATGAGGACAACATTTCAAGTACGAGACATACGCTGGTGGACGACTCTCACTTGGGCCCTTATTAATGAAGAAAAGCTGACTTATACCTTTTAAACCATATTTTATGAAATTTTTATGTAATTTAGTTTTGGAATGTAATCATATGCAAATGATTGTAATTGAATTCATATGGACTATGTTGAATGTAAAACTCCATGATATATATATTCGGATTGATATGGGATGAATTGAAATAGATTGAAAATTGAAAATGGATGAAATGAACAAAACTGGGCACACCTACCGATAAGGATGTCAATGGATTGAAGCGGGAGCGGGGGGTGTAGTCTTCATCCCCATACCCGCTTAAAAAAACTTCGTCCATCCTCGGTCTATCCACGTTAACGGGTATAGTTTTCATTTCATCCTCATCAGCGAGTAAATTTCTAATCCTCGCTTCCCCCGTACTCGCCCAAGCCAAGCTCAAGCTCAAGCCTAAGCTCCATTTAGCTACCAAATTGGACTAATTATGTAACAAATTGGACTAATCTCCATTGAGCTAAAACCATGCGACTACTTCAATGTTTATTAAATCATACTATAATTTATTAAAGGGCCATTAGAGCCACCAACTGTTCATGTTACAGCCTTCTTCTAACTGGAATCCTAATCTATAAGGAAATTCTTTGTCAGTTCATCAATTGCATAATAAGCAATCTTAATCAAGTCAACAATTAAGGACTTTATCCTTCTAGTTATTTCATATCAATTATCACCATTACTATGGCAGGATATTTAATAAACTACAAAGTAATCTCTTTGTAGTCTGTTTTTTCAATTAAAGTGCAACTTGGAAGTTGGAACCACCATATGCGATGACTTCTTGCCAACTGATTTTACATTATCCTCTTTATCATCTATTTTTCAGCCAAGATGCACTGTAGGAGTGTTAGTCCTACAATATGGGATGACATATTGCCAATTGATTTTACAATATATATATATATATAATCGGAGGTGGGGTGGGAGCGGGGGTAAGGGGCGGTCCATCTCCGTTTTCATCCCCATACTGGTTTATACGAGCATCCTCATATATGTCCATCGTCTGATATGTATAGTCCATCCCCGGTCCAAATGGGACATATTTGGACGAATACTCGTTTTTCTCCGGTCAACTGTCATCCCTACCTACCAGTAGTACATTTGGTTCTTCTACCAGTAGATGTGGTGCAGTAGACAGCTTCTACCGATAGGTTTAGTTGGTAGAACTTTTCCAGTATGGTTCTCCTACTGGTAGAACGTCACTGTTCCTACCGATAGAAGAATTCCAGTAGACTATTTCTACCAGTAGAACTTTGAAACTTCTACCAGTAAATTTTTACTTTAAACTTCAAAATTTTAAATGTTTACTAAGTCTTTGAGGAACACAAATTAGTAAATGATAAAGTGTATGAAGGTTACACGTATGAGTAATGATCCCGATTAAGGAGATGCTATTGACGTGATGTAAGGTTATGCGACAATTACGGGTTCTTCTGCAAATGGATGGTATCAATAAATGACGATTAGAATCTTTGTTTCTTCCTTTCTGAAGTACTTCCATGTTAAAGTACATTCTATACCTTGAAAGGTTATCTTAATCTCAACTTCATTTCATGACTTTCAAATTTGGTGAATTTTAGTCCTCCAACTTTATGTTTTTATTTGAAGAGTGCATTACATAACCAATCAATGAATAATTATAACACGTGATAAAGAGAATTATACTCTATTTGATCGACGTTATATTTAGACTTTTTATGCGCAAAATTGGGGTTAATTTCCAACTTATTAGGATTCTTAATTTTTATTCTTGATCAAAATCATGCAATTTTTAATGTATTTTTAACCTATCATTATTTTCTTAAAAAAATTATTTAAAACCACCCTTCTGCATTAAAAGAGTATAGGTTAAAATCATAATGTCTTCTGAGTATAAAAAAATATGATAAGTTAAGAAAAAAACTTCACAATCAGAGTTAGAGGACCAAATTGAAATAATCAAATCAACAAAAAATCAATTACAATGATAATTTAAGTGGTAATAAGGATGAGTGGCAAATTCAATATCTTGACAATTTCTTGAGGTTAGGTCACGAGGGATTTATTCTAATGAATATTTATGTCCAACATGGATGACCTACCTTTCACCGGACTGAAGAAAAGATTAGTCGAGATATGCGTAATTAATTCGAACATCACACTGACCATTGAAAAGAAAAAAACAACATAAAATCCACTACCAATTAAACTCAACAATTGTTTTTTTTTTTTAATAGAGGACAACTACAACCAACACCTTAAAAAGGTGGAGGCTGCAGAGTCCATATAAACACACACACACCCTAAAACTCAACAATTGTTTGATGCTTCGATTATGGCAACATATTTGAAATATCGGGTTCACACTCCCACTCCTAACAATCAAATAAAATAAAATCCACTTTGAAAACTTAAGGGAAATTTCTCAAATATTGAAAACTGAGGGGCCGTTGAAATTTTAAAACTTGGTTTGAAATTTTATTGCATTTCTTGATGGATTTTGCATGGGTAAGACAGGAATTTTGTTTTCTAAAATATGTTGACATCATCAAAAATGGACGGTTAATCAAGCGGAATTTAACATTAGGGGTCAATATGAAACAAATAAAACCCTTTGGGGTGCATGTAACTAAATGACAAACCTAGGGGGATCCAAATAGATTACCATTAAATGATAAAACCCCACTCTTGTCCGCGTTTGGGGGTTTCTTCTCTCTCTCCTCCCTCCGATAACAATCATGCAAATCTATTCACTAAAAATTTGCCGTCATCAATGCTCAAGAGGCTGATATATGACATTGGAATGGGAAAAATGTTGTGACAAATCCAATTGATTTCTAACCAGGGGGGTATCACATCAAAATACATGACATATGCACATTGTACTCTTTTTCTTTCGTCTAAGTTTTGTCATATTGGGTTTTTCTAAAAAGGTTTTAATCAGGCAACATTAGTACATCCAATGCTATTCTAAAATTTATCTAAATATGTACTTTTTTCCTTTGCTAAGTTTTTTTCCACATGATTTTCCTAACAAAGTTTTAAGAAGGCATATTATCTTAGCATAATAGTCATCCAAGAGAGAGTGTTATAAATATATTGTATATACATATAGATGAACTCTTGCCTACCAATTTAAGAGGTGTTAGTATTTGACTCTATAACTCTGCTTAGAGTTAATATTGTATTTGATGACTATTATTATTTAAGGTCTATAAAAAGAAGTCCTCGTCACATTGAGAAATACACAAGTTGAGAAATTTAATCTCTAACATATATATATTCTCTATATTCTCTTTATAAATTCATATAATTCTCTTGCTATCATAATCCAATTTGATTATGCCAACATATTTGAAATACCTGTTTCACATTCCCACTCCTAACAATCAAATAAAATAAAATCTACTTTGAAAATTTAAGGGCAATTTCTCAAATATTGAAAATTGAGGGGGCGTTGTTTAGGAATTAAAATTTTAAACCTATTCGGTTGGTTTGAAATTTTATTGAATTTTTTTATGGATTTTGCACGGATAAGATAGGAATTTTGTTTCCAAAATATGCTGACATCATCAGAAATGCACGGTCAATCACACGAAATTTAATGTTAGGGGTCAATATGAAACAAATAAAACCCTTTAGGGGTATATCTAACTAAGTGACAAACCTAGGGGAACCGAATATATTATACCCTTAAATGATAAAACCCCACTCTTGTCTGCGTCTCGGGCTAGGAAGGGTCTCTCTCTCTCTCTCTCTCGCCCTTTTGAGTTATGTTAAGTGCATCTTTTTTTCTGAGATCATTATCAAGTAATCAATCGAATCTCCATTGAAATTCAATTCAATAAAATCAAAAGCGTAAATAAAAAAGAAGAAAGACGAAGATGCAAGGAGGAGTCGAAGAGCTCAATGTAGAAGAACTCGCTTCAAATCTCTCTACTTACAAAGAACAGCTTCAGCAGGTACCTACTATTCACGCACAATTGAAATCTTTTCATTTAATTTTGCAAATGAAACTCGATGTAAAAAGAATATATATGCTTGAATTCAGGAAAGCGTAATAAACAGGAATGTAGGATTATTCATTATTATTTGAAATTCTAATTTCTTTTGTCGTTTTTCAATCTGGAAGGTTGAAACCTTAGATGGCTTGAATATATATTATTACTGGATTGTTGGATTTCTAGGGGCAATTATTGTTGGGCAGAGACTTGAAATTTTTTGCTTTGTTAGGGCTCTTTTGGCCCTTTTTTTAGGTTCTATGATTTAACGATGGTAAGAGCATCTCCAAGACTCAAATTAGAGTGTAAATTTGAGTAAAAAACTTGATTTGGTATAGAGTACTCCAATGAGCACACTCAAATATCTGCTCAAATCTTTTAAAAAAATTTCTTATTATTTCAAAACTCATTTTTTTGTGTCATTCAAACTATAATATTTGATAAAATAAATGAAACTTTCATCTCTCCACAAATGTATAATTAAAAAAAATGAATATGTATATAACACTATATGAAAATAAAGAAACCACCCCAGAATACTAAGATTATTCTAATCCCTTATCATTTTTTTATAAATCTAGATAAAGAAAAAAAAAATAGTTAACATGGGCATAGTCTGAAGAATACAAAAACATATATATTTTTTTTTAACAAAAATGGAAGATTGAAGAAATAAAATGATAAATTTTTTAAATTTGTGGGTACCGAAGGCTTAAAATTTCAGGAAGAATCGGTGGTTTGAAATTGTACAACTGATAGTGTTTAACTCAAAAAAATAAAAGAAAAATTTGATGGGTAAACTTAGGGTTTATATAGTATGAAAGATGGGTGAGATTAGGGTTTTGAAAAATACAAGAAATTAAGAAAATGGAAGATGAAAAGCAAAAAATTACCTACAGGCCTTCAAATGATTTGTGAAAGTTTCGGTGGTAGTTGGCGATGGAAGTAGTGTCGTAGAGAAATGCAAGAAGAGACAGAGAACAAGTAGTTAAAGAAGTCTTTTAGTTTTGAATTGGTTAAAAAGTTACCGTTAGAAATTTGATATAGAATTTGAGTCTCCTTCAATTTGGGTCCAGAACAAGTTTTGTCTTGATTTGGTATGGGTTTGAGTCCAAGGTTAGAGAAGTGTTTAGGCCATTTTGACTCAAATTTAAATTTGAGTCTACATTTGAGTCAAGGTTGGAGATGCTCTAACTAGGTTAGTTGGTTAGTGGTGTTTTAAGGTAGAATTTATTGTTTTTTAAATGGTGTTGCTGTAATTTGTAGTAGTGAAAAATATTGTCACTGTCATATCTTAGGGTCGACTAATCTTGGTGACATTACAAGAAGACTTGCGAAGATGGCCCTGTGCCGCCGGGATCATCAGATAGGGATCATCATACTCACTGACATGCGGTGGATAGAGTTTCCAGTCTCCTAGATTTTTTGCATTGTGCTTGTTGGTGAGTCATGTGTTTTCTAAGTGACCATATGGCCTGGCAATACAAGCAAAAGGCTTATGCATAGAAGTTATACCATCATTTTTCTTTGACCAGAAACACAAAAGATTTTATTAATCGTAAAAGCATTACAAGAAGCAGAAGGACAAGTAGTCCATCCTGGAAGTGACATGGAACTCTAGTTTTGCTTTGACTTTTTTTTTTTGGATTGGGAGCTGGAGTGAGTGGACACTTTGCCATGTCTCCTATACGACGTGACTATATTGTGTTTGTTCCTTCTATTTTTTGGAGAGGATAAGGTACTGTAGAACTCTTTCAATAGGGTTATATGGGATAAAGATTGCACAACATGGTGCTTAGGGTTCATCGTAAACTGCATTCCTAATGAAATAATTGTCAAGGCACCTTTGAAGATTCTTGTTTTCTCCTTTCATGGGCCACAGCTTTGGTGGCTATGCTAACTATGGACAGTTTAAGGTTCAGAGGTAACACTATTGCTATGGACAGTTTGAGGCTCAGAGGTAACACCACCACTAATTGATGTGGTATGTTTAGAGGGGTGAAGAATGTCAGTGGATTCTAAAGATAGATTTTTAGAAGATATTTAAGAGGTATAGCAGGTGATGCCCTTGTCTCATGTGGTGTTCATGGAGGGGGAAAATAGAAGATCTTTTGAGATTGAGGATATATCAACTCCCAAGCTTTTAAGAATTTATTTCTTCGCTGTTAGAGATTTATTTTGGAGGAAGCAGATTCCTTGGAATGTGATTTATCTGTGTCTTTTGGTGGTTTGTCATGTAGAGTAAGAAAAAATTACTTTGTTGGAGATATATTTTGGAGGAAGCAGATTCCTTGATATTCGGGATTCACCCATACCTTTGGTGGTTTAGTGTTTTTCTTACCTTTACTTGTTCCACAGAAAATGAAAAAACAGCTTAAGTACATTTCTAAACAAGACTTTGTTCTTCTATTACTTTGTTGGACAGAGTTGCTTTTGTTTTCAAGCTAGCTATCTTTGGAGTCTTGGGCACCAGTCCCTCAGTACGCACAGCTAGTTTATGATGTGCACTTTATCCAATTCAAAAGTTGTTTTTAGTATCTTGTGGCTTATGATGCAAGTTGTTTGGCTGCCCTATTTTTTCATGGATTTTATTGGTTTGCCCCCACGCCTGCGCTCGTGCCCTGGGGCCCAGGGGGGCTTTGTTTTTCATTCTGCTTTTATTTGTGTTTATTTTAGTAATGTTCTCTCTTTTTTTTATGGATCAGGTTCGAAAACTTTTGGATGATGACCCTGGAAACTCTGAATATGCAGACATGGAAAAGGAGCTTGGAGAGGTGATCTTTGCACAATTTGATCTTATTTAGTTTTTTCCCCTTGAAATTTTTCTTTGACATTTTATTTAATTTATCCCTGAACTTTGTAGAGTTGAGCCCCTGGAGATTGTCATGTAGAGTAAGCTTTTTATCATGTCTTGAAAAAATGGGGTTGATTCCATTGGATGTAAAAAGGATCACAAACCAGATAATAGGTGATTACTTGGTTGGTTGACATGTCATGCATCCGTCTCCCCCGCCCTCTCTAGCATACACACACACACACAAATGTTGCCCAAACAAGCAGCATCCATTCATATTCTAATGATAAAGAGATCTGTTTTTAACCTTGGGTTCTAAGGGGGAGGATTCTATTTCTGGAAAACAAGATTCAATGAGAACTGAGGAGATTTTACAAAATTATTGGAGCTATGGACTCTACAAGATGTCCGTCACTTGTATCTTGGTTCATGTGCAGGTGTTCTATTTGTCGTGATGTCCAGCCTGCTTCTCTGTCTCGGGATTTCAGATGTCCACACGAACATTTTAAGTTCGAAATTCAACAAGATTTTGGTCTTTGTTATACATATAATTGCTTTAATTGATTTGGATTTGGCTTTTTTATTTTGGACTGTAGGTGATTGCTTTGACAGAAGAACTTCTGGCAACTGCAAAACAAAATGATAATTCCGGACTGGATATTCAAACAAGTTCTGATGCATCTCACAGTTTGCGCCATTCTGCTGGTACCTCTCCATATAACAGGGTAAATCTCCTCTAATTGTATTCTACTGTATCAGTTTAATTTTTAAATTAGTAATGTATACTTATGATGAGTGGAAGATTCACTTGAGGTTTTCTACGAAAGCAGCACAGAAGTATGACTTAAGGTCAAACTTTGGTAAGAATAATAGTTTGCTTCATGCGGAGGAATAATGGAATGTTTTCCGTTTGCATAAAATAGTTGAAGAGAAAAAATCTTATTTGAGATATACTTATGTTCAAACTGAGAAGGAATACTTTTCATTTGGTTCTGGTTGTCCCTCTATCTAGGGATGGAAAAACAACTTTCAATTTCCTTTACACTTTCTGGAGTTCAACATCTTTATGAAGGGTCTGGGTTTCAATTTCCCCTACTCTCCTTGGTTTGGGGTGTTGGAGGATGGGAGTGTACATTATGTGCAGTTGGCTTTTGAGTTTGGACATGAAATATTTTATTTTCTTTTTGATGGAAGAGAAGACATAATTTTCGGGCTTAAATTAAGTCTACAGTGGAAAAGATGAAAAATATTTTTCAAAGAAGTGAGATACAGTATAGCAGCCTTAGCATAAAAAAAAAAGTAGGAATTAGGGAGTCTTCCTAGACAATTCCGCCCCCCTTCCCCTCAAAATAAAAATCTTACTTGGCAGCTTCAAATACCTGAACTATGACACAAAAAAAAATGTCAGGTACCTAATACTATCCACGTGTACATTCTGTTGTTGTAGTTGATGTAAGACAGCACCTTGAACAGTAAGCCAGGTATGTAATGCACAGCTGCCAATGGATCTTCCACTTATATAATTACAAAATGTTATTACTATATTGCTGTTCCTTTTCCTTTGTTATCTTGTTATTGGTCACTACTCACTGCTGCTGCTGGAATGTTTTGCATTGGCTCATTTGTGCTTCTTGCTGAAGATATTCTTTCAGTTTTTATTTTTTTTAAATGGGAAGTTGTTTGTCTCCATATGATATACTATGTTAAAAAGCTAGTTCATTTTTTGTTACATATATATTTGGATATAAGCTGGTACTAAATTAATCTATCTACTGTATATTGTGAAACACTCTCTATTTCTATGCTTATATGCATATCTTTGTTTACATTTCACATGTGCCATGTGTGTGTGTGTGTGTGTGCTTAATTCCGTTGTTTTCTGCAGGACTCACGAACCATATCTGATCACTTTGACAAGTTTCCTGTTGGCACTAAAGTTCAAGCTGTTTGGAGTGAAGATGGAGAGTGGTTTGTATTTTCAGATAGAGGAATCCAACTGATTTATCAATTTTTTCTTTTTCATTTGCTTTACTTTTGGGTTCTTTTGTCTGTTTTTGATTTAGTTGACTGTTCAGGTATGACGCGACAATTGAGGCGCTTACTCCAAATGGGTACTATGTACGCTATGATGGATGGGGTAATAATGAGGAGGTATGAGTTCTGTTGGAGAATGTTGGAATTATACAAGTCTAGTTTTGATTCACTTTAGTTTTCAAATTCCATTCACCCGTTTTTTCTATCATGTGCCATTTGTTTTTGCTGAAGCACATCAAGTGGCTGTATTTATGTTTATTTCTTTCCTGGGGGTTGGATGTTTGGGATGCAGGAATGGTTAGGAAAATATTATACCCTTCTTATTGCATTGCTTGTATAAGTCTACAGACTACTGAATTTACAATATAATCATCATCTAAGTTACAACTAATATATCAAGTAGTAGTTAAATTGGACTTATTTTACTGAATGGTTAAAGCTTCCATGCAGTGTCTTGAAAAGTTCTCATCTATGTGAAAATTTTTATTTTAAAAAGGCCAGGAAGGGATCATAAATTTTTTTCGTGGTGTGAATGCACTGATTGCATGTCCCCTAAAAAAGTTGGAGTCCAAAAAGGCTTGTTGTTTTGGGACAGAGGGAGTAATTATTGGACATTTCTAATCATGTGGAGTAAGCAAATACAAAGTGGTTGAAACCTTGCTTGTACAGTAAAGTAGTCATCAACCTTGTTTCACCATTGGTCCCTTAGTGGGGGCCTGTGAGTTTTCCCTTTCTCCTTTGTGCAAATGCTCAAGGGAACTAAAAATGCTGCTCAAGAGTCTGTTTCTAGGTAACCATTGTAATCACTGTTGTGGTTGTTAACAACTCTTACTTAATTGTCCACTAGTTGGGTTTTTTACAATCTTGTAATTGCTGCCACAACGGGCCTTGCTGGCTATCAATGTGGGGCCATATCTTCCTCTGTTGTCTCTGCCATATGTGATATCTTCCCTCATGTCATGACCTCAGCTATCTTTTGTTACTGTCACAACCACCTCTGTCTCTTTGCTTACATCTCTGCTGTAAATGCTACTTCCACCATGATTTACCATCAATGTCATCGTTGCCACTGTTGCTATTGCCTGTTGCAAATCATCCGTCTCATCTAAATCATTTTCATATTCATCTTTCCACTTCTACTAACAACTCCTTTTGTTGGCACTTAACAAGTGTGCTTGACCTTTTTAAAAAAAGCTTAAACGACCAGGAATCTATGATTTCAACCTCTTCCTGACAATTCAACAAAACCCAACCTAGCGTCTCATCTTTCTAAGTATAAACAGAAATGTGAATATTCAGATTACCTAAAAGTAGATTCACATGCTTTAGGGTTCTTTGGTTACACCACCTTTGGCACAAAGTAATAAAACCTCTTGCTTGTCAAAAGCTGTTATTAGTTACCCAGATTCATCCGCACTTATCCCAATTTCTTCAATGTTTCTATATGCAGAATCATTTGAAGCATTATACATTAGTGATTGTTGTTACCAGGTGGATCCTGCTAACATTAGGCCAGTTGAAGAAGGGGCTGTAAATTCTCTGTTGGAAGCTGAAAGGGAAGCTGAGGCCACAAAACAAGCTCTTAAACGGAAGGTTGCTCAAGCTGCTGCTACTGACTTCCAGTCACGGAGTTTACCAGCAAAGCTTCGTATTGAGCCTGACGACCCTGAAGATGTGGTATGTTTCATTTACATTTTTGGGTCATTGTCAAGGCAACAAATTATATATCTTATAAAAGCCAGGGCCTCAGGGTGTGGACTGCTGTTTTTCTTCTATTTTCTACAATTATTGCGGCTCCCCCATAACTTAAACAACCCAACCCATAACCCACTTTTTTGGGGGTGGGAGCAACTGACCATTTAAGCCAGCCACTTATGTAATGTACAATTCTGAAAATTTTGTCGCTAATACCAAGTACAAGCTTGGTCTGAAACCAGAATTCCAGAGATCGCTTTTGGTGAACTGGAATTAAGGGCACTCAGTTCAAGATTTTAGTCCAGACTGTTATGAGAAAATAGAGTTGCACTCTTACCTTTTCCTGTTAGGTAGGCCCAGGTATTACTGATTAGTCGGATGATCCCATCCCTATGGCCTATCATTTGTTGGTCGATCCGGCTGGCAGTTCCTGCTTCTCCGCGTCTCTATGGGGGGTCCTTTTATACAAGTTTGCTGCTAGGAGTACCTCTCCTCTAGTCAAATCAATAAAAAATAGAAGTTTACTGACCTGGCTCTTCAATCGATGATCCACTGCTCCCTCTTAGTTGCGGATACCCATGCTTTGATTTCCTCCAATAGGGGTTTCCAATTCTTAGTTGTAGCCAACTGAGAATATAGTTTGGTGAATTAGCTAAAACTAGATTTGCTTTCACATTTATTTGATAATTTCCAGGCTCTTAGTCACCTTGTCATTTATGTGCTTCTCTACATTCACTTCTGGTGAACATGATATCTAGGTTGTAGTTACTTAGTCAACTTGTTGGCTATGTTTTTTCAATACTGTTTGGTTTGTGATTTTTGAATTTTTTTTATTATAATTCTTACTTCATTTTACACTGGCTGATCCTCATATTTACATGGAACAGAAAGTTGCTAAGCGTAAGAAGATACATTTGTATAAGTCAAAGATGCGGATAGAGCAACTTGAGGTTACACAGAATAAGAGGCAGAATGATTGGCAGCAATTCCAGACAACTAAAGGCCGGGCCAAGAAGGTACGTTTGACTGCCCCTTTCGCACTTGTGAAAACCATTAGTTGGTCATTTTTATAGTCAACTTGATCACCATCTATATATATGCTTGTAAAGCATACACACATATGTAAGCACTAATCAATTGCTGTCTTTGAAATTGAGTGGGAATGATAAAATTATTACTTCAAATTTTGGCTAGCAGGTTCTACTAATAGAATTGCCAAGAACATCGAACATGGCTTCTCTGAGAATTACACTTCAACTGCCCAATCAACAGTCAAAAAATACAGTCCAAAATTCAAAACCAGTCGAGCTGCTTATGCTTCCCCATAGCCTTGCCCTGCTTGTCCCTTCCTAGACCCCTTCCATTGGTTGCCTACAAGTTGGGGAACATTACTTTCGCAGTTAATTGCAATATACTAGAATCACAATAAAGTAGAAAGTACAATTATAATCACCATAATGTCATAGACTTGAAATTGTACTTGCTCATTACTATTTTGAGTTACAGTGCTTCCCTGAGATGCTGAATGTTGAGCCCCAATAACTATCTTGGTCAATATTCTGTATGTTATACTGTTTGTGATTATATTCAAAGAGCAAGTCAAGACAAATTACAACTTATATATGTCAATTTTCAGAAATAAAAGCCAATTACAAATATGAAAAAACAACAAATCTTTCACTAAACGAAAAAATAAAACCATTCTCAGTAAAATGTAATACTGAGAAAAGAACAAAACCATATTCAAAAGAAACAAATTTAATATTACATCTAATCTCAAGTTGTTGAAATCTCTTTCTTTGGAAATAAAATATAACTTAGAAAAAATATTAATTAGCTTTTGGATCAACAAAACCGCAAGTAAATCATAGACGATTGGCATTGAAATGTAATGAAAACTAGTGAAAACAATAACATGAATACAATAAGAAGGGTAACCAACTGGTATGAAACAGAATAGGACAGAGGTAAAATTTGTAAGTTTTTCAACCCACAGGGAAGGGCAAGCCAACTCGAGGACCAAAAATTGCAACAAGCTATGAAAAAGGAAAAGAATGTTACGAACAGGATTGCCACTAAACACCAATGATCTGACATACCCATATCTACTTGGTTTTCCATATCAAAAAGTCAAGGATATATATACAAAAATATACGACTTTTCATACAACAAAAGAATGGTTTTCCATATTAAAATAATTAGGGTAAAAAAAAAGTTTTTCCGTACAACAAAAATTAGGGTTTTCCATACAAACAATTAAGGTCAAGAAATTACTGTTTTTGTTCAAAAAATTAGGGTTTCTGCCCCTATTTGATGACAAGATCTTCTTTGAGTCACTGTATTTAATCGATGATGGTTTGATCTTACGGAAGCACAAACGAATCAAACCTCTTAAGATGGGATCTTCTTCGACTCCAAGGATTCAATCAAGTCAAAGACTACTTACCTTCTTAGAGAACAAGTGAATCGATTGATTGAATCTCCTCAGCCTACCCTTTCTCTCTCTCTCTCTCTCTCTGAACCAAGCGACAGTACAAGGGTATTGGCTCAATGACTTACTCTAGATGCTTAATTTATATTGTCTGGTTAGTGTGTCAAATACCACTGTTAAACACAGGTTAGTTGTATGTATACAGTACATAGTGTATAATACACATAAAATGTCTGATGGGCATTTTAGTAAAATCATTATCTTTGTTAACGCTGTCAGCGGCAACAATTGACAAGGGGTGACTGGGAAGTTTCAGAATATACAACGGGTGTCTCTGAAGATATGGTTAATTACAGGGAGTGACCGGGGTGTGGATGTAATTTTCCCAAAAAAGAAAGTGGAAGCCTCTTCAAAGTGTTTGACACAGAGGTTATTTAGAAATGCTTGTGTTCAACACCTGTCGGACATGGACACAACTCCACACATTAGAAGTGGCCAGGCTTTGTAGTTAGCCCATTACTGGCTTTGTCATCCTTGGGTGGCCAGTTTTGGGTGGGAGTTACTACTGGATGTGGAGCACTAAACAGCTACAGGGATGCTTTCAATCTTGGACCATGAATTTGTGCACTTGTTGACCTGAACTGTTGCTATAGCAAGAAAGAATGACTCATGAACAGTTGAGTTTAGATAATTACAATCTTTATATATACCTCATTTTCTTTCTAGTTTATAAGTTTACATGCAGATTTTCAGTGAACTACTTTTGTTTGACCACTTCTACTCACTTCTATTAGCAATTACCTTTTCAGTAGCACATCACACATTATTAAACCAAAACGAATATGAATTTAGATCATGGATCATTTATACAAGGGCCATTGGGTAATTAGCCTGGTGCATATAACGCTTCTTCAGATATTTAGCTGGTACATTTGCACAAACTCCTATAGATATATATATAGGTTTTAGATGCACAGAGATTTATTTAACACTGGGATCCAAAAATCTGAGGTCATTTTTGTTACAATGCTGCTTTTTAGAGAATAAAAAATTGTATAACCTTTGAGTTTTTGTGGATATATCTCTGGGAAACTTTTTACCCTTTTCTTTTCAGCTAGCAAAAATTGTCTTTCTGGATCGATATGGCATTTTAGCACATTTTATTTCTTAATTCTACTCTCTGAATCTGTAGTTCTTTTTTTTTTTTTTCTCACTTTACTTCCATATTTAATTTCTTCTTTATTTTCCAGATTGGTTTCTTCTCAGGGCGCAAGCGAGAGAGCATCTTCAAATCCCCAGATGATCCATTTGGAAAGGTAGGCGTGACTGGAAGTGGAAAGGGTTTGACAGATTTTCAGAAGAGGGAAAAACACTTGCATCTCAAGGGAGCAAACGCTGAGTCTATTGATGATTAAATGATTTTGTTGCTATTTTTTGTCAGTTCGTATATTCTGCATTTTTGGCCTCACTTGTGGCCAACCGGTTTCAAATGGAGTTCAGCACTCGCACATAATTCATGGTACAAGGTTATGGCTTTTCCTTCTTCAGCCAAGTTATTCGGATGTCAGATTGTAGATCTCTTGTTGGCACTTTCTGCGGAGGCAAATAATTCTTTCTTCTGCTCTGTATGTTAGTTCAGTGAGATAATAATCACATTTTCTTCCGATTTAGTCATGCTGTTGAGGAGGTGCTGAAAAGAAAGGAGGGCGTATTATTGTAGCATCATGATCCTTTGTACATACTAAGCTACTTCTTGCTGTAAGGTGAAAAATACCCTCCTATGGTTTTTTTTTCCTCTCTTTTTTGGGGATAATGGTGAATGTTTTGTAGCATGTGTACTTTAGGTTCATTTTCAACTTGAACTTTGGATTCGTATAATCATTTCCAAATTATGCGTGTTGGGTAAATATGGATTCTCTTGCAATAGACAAACTTAGGACCACGAGATAGTAACCCTTGATGTCTGTTCGTATGAGCTAGCTGGTTTCTCCATGAATTTGCAGATCGATCGGTGTGAAAGATATTTTAGGGGTGTAGAAAGCAGACAGCTCAAAAAAAGGGTGGCTAAAGGGTGAAAGGAGGATTTTGATTAAGAGATGCAATGGACTTAGGAGGTTGTTCACTTCTTTTTTAATGACCAAAACTTTCTTGCTCTTGGAATTGGAAACCTGTGTAGAGCTGTTTAATTGATCAGTAAACCAAACATAAATCTCTTCATTAACATCATCACAAGTCTATGTAACTTGCACATCAAAAAGCAAATTTTCATTGTGGATTAACAGCATTTTACCCCCATTAACATTTTAGAAATTATACTTGGTCCCTTCAAAGATTAAAAGTCTCATATTGATCTTTTGATAGTAAAAAGTTCAAAGAGTAATATCTCCTAATAACTATACGGTATTTGGTTGCTTTGTCTATAATAACATTAAATGACACTTAAAGCTTTTAGGTTTTCTAAACTAAATGTTTATTTATTGAGTTAAATTTTTACATGGAGAAAAATTATGGTGCAATGTGAGCTTTTTAAGTTTTGAAGGGGTTAACGAGTAATAGAAAAATGCTCAACCACGCAATAGATATCATAGAAGTTAAAACTCTAAGAATTAACCCCCTCTAAAATGAAATAAATCACAAATGTAAGCCACTATAGTAGTTGCAAATAAAAAAAGATTCAATTGTCGGTTAGGTTGGGCTATTTTTTTACTCCTTGCTTTTAATTTTTTTGGACTAAGCATTGCTCGGAACATAATATGTCTTGATATATTTAACGATTTTCAATTCATGTTAGAGTATTTTTAATAATTTCTCGATTTTTACTCATTTTCATAGTCTCTCAATTTAGACTAGTTAAAATACAAATCCTAATTTGAATCTCTACATTTGGAGATCAAAACTCACTCTCTATTCTATTATTAATTAATAAAAAAAAATAGCACCTATATGTTTTTTGTTTGAACAATCACATATGCTCTTATAGAATTATTTATCTTTATATAGAAAAATAATTGAAGTTGCATGTATCCCTAAATTGCTTTTTTTTACTTTATATTTGCAAAATAAAAAATAAGAAAAATTTGGAGGGCAGTCTACTTTTTAATATTGATTTGGACTTAAATTCACTCAAAATTTTTGTTTGTGAATAAGTCTATTTCAATCTTTATTGTCCAAAATACTCTTATTAGTAATATTTAATTAAAAAAAAATTAAAAACTAATAACTCTTAAATATTAATATTAATTTTTTCTCTCTCTCTCATATCTTTTTGTATATACGTATATAGATTATGATCATATATATACATGACATAAATTGTAACACTCAAAACAAAAAATAGTAACATTCAAAACAAAAAAAAAATGAATATTAACACCACAAAATATGTTTTTTAAGGGTCAATTAGAACATTTGGGGAGAATTATACTCAGATTTTCTAAGGTTTGTCAACGTAATCACTTAGACTCATAATATTTAAAATATTATACATAGGTTTCCTGAGGTTTGTAAGCGCATAAAACTTAGACTCCTATCATCAAATATCTGTTAGTAAATTACACCCCAAACCCCTAAAAATTGTAGACGTATAATAGTTAAATCCTTCAAGTTCAAAATGTTATATTTAGACAAAAAAATACTCAAATTCAAGATAGAATATCAGATATTTTAAATTTTATAACAAAAATTCATATTCTATTATATCATTTATTGAAATAAAATTAAAAATAAAAGCTAATTTTTTCTTAAAAAATTGTAATTAGTATACAATTATATTATCTATTGAAATAAAACTAAAAAATCAAACAAAAGGACTAAGTCATTCATAATAGAATATGAATTGTACAACCAAAATTCATGTTATATTATGTCATTTATTAAAATAAAAATGTACTTTTTTCTTAAAAAATTATAATTAGTATACAATTATATTATCTATGAAAATAAAACTAAAAAAATTAAATAAGAGGTCAAATTGTAATGGATACAATATATTTTAAACTTTAATGAGGATAATTTGGTAGTTTAATTTGATGGTTTAAACGACCAAATTAAATTCCAATAGATAGTATAATTATATATTAATTACAATTTTTTAAGAAAAAAAATATATTTTTAATTTATTTCAATAAATGTTATAATAGAATATGAATTTTAGTTCTAAAATTTAAAACATTTGATATTTCATTTTTGGTCTAACTAGAACATTTTAAACTTGAGGGGTCGAAGTATTACATGTCTACATATTTCAGGAGGTCTGAATATAATTTACTAATTGACATTGACGAGAGGGTCTAAGTATTACATCGTAGAGTTTTGTACAATATTTTAAATGTTAGGGGATCTGATTGATTAATAGATAAATCTTTAGGGACCGAGTGTAATTCTCCGTAACATTTGAGCCCATAACCAGTGGGACCAAAATACCCACGATCCGACGACTAAGGCCCATGTGAGCCTAATTGAGGTGCAATCTCATACTCTCTGCTCGGAGTTCTTTCATCGAAAACTCTTTTCCTAGGGTTTTGCCGCTGCGGTACACAGTTTTTCCCTGAGGAGGTTTTGATTCGGAGAATATGGGAAGGGAAGTAGAAGAAAATGAGAATAACAATAAGGATGATATTGATGGCACAGCAGCAACAAAGAAGATGATGAGGATATACATAGGGGGACTGGGATTGAGCGTTACAGAAAATGATTTAATCAAAACATTCTCTCCATTGGGGAAAGTGGAGTCTGCAGATATAGTTCGCACGAATGGTCGCAGCTTCGCTTACTTGGATTTTCTTCCCTCTTCCGAGAAAGCCCTTGCCAAGCTCTTTAGCACGGTACTCTCTCTTTTCCCTTTGATTCTTCGCTTTTTATCTTCTGAGATAATTAAATCAAAGTTCGGAAACATTGGCATTATGCAAACGTTCGGTATTCGAATTTTCATGTTCTTTGAATTGCTGTATTCATTTTGTTGTTGAAATGGTGGATGGGGTGGGTTGACAAAGCCTGTTTAGTTTACTTGATCATTTGTATGGTTGCTCGATAAACTTGCTTAGCCCAGAAAATCCTAATCCCCGTTTTCAGCAATGGTGCTTGCTTTCAGGGGCGGAGCCCCTAATTTGGCAAAGTGGAGCAATTTTTAGCAATAAAAATACTAAGTGTACTTAATTCATAGGCCTAATTTAGAGGCTTAATGCAATGCTACCTTTGAATTAGCAAAAAGATTGCATTTAATGATAGCAATACATTATATCCTCAAATTAGATCCCTAAATTATGTTCAAATAACATTTCTCTTTTAAAAATAGTAAGATTAAAAAGTTTGAACTAATAATAATAATAAAAAAAAAAAAAAAGCAAGGGCTCCCGGGATGGTCAGATATACAAAGCGTTTTCCTGCATGTGAGAAGATGTTTCCAAAAAAAGAGGGAACATCATGTTATGAAGATGAGTTACCTTGGTAGATTAAAGTCCAGATTTAGCTTGCAATGGTGTAAACCAAAATGGAGGTATATACATAGTGGTGATGATGGTTTATGGGGGTGATTGCAAAAGAGGAAGGCTTTGTTTTTAGGGAGGGTTGGTTATTTTCTGGGAGTTCTAGGAGATAACGATATGTACCTCTTTGGCTGACTTTAGGTCCCTATGTTCTCATAATCTTTTGATGTCTTGTATGTAGTTTAGGTATCCTTTGCCGTGTATCATTCTGGGTGCATGTGAATATTTGTTGTATGTTTACTTTATATTTTATTGAGCCTTGTTTCATAAGTGAATCCAATAAAGGGCAACAAAAAGTGGTTCTATTTGTAACTAAGAAGCTATGCCTTATTAAATGTCAGGTCACCATTTTATGTGTGTGTTCCCGTGAAGAAAAGAGTTATAGGACGATATAGCTAAAAAGTGTTTTGGATCTTTAATTTTGTGTTCCGGTGTAAAGTGTACCATTTTTTGGAACTATCATATCAAATCCCAATTAGCTTGGATTTGCTTTTTTGGTTACTTTGTTTGGTTCTGAATAAATAATTATGCACATTTGAATTATGGAACAAGTGATGATAAGGGAATATATGCTGATAGACTATAGTTTTATCCTTCTTTAAAAGTTGGAAGAGTAAACTTATTTATTCTAAAGTCCTATTTTTCTTTTTCATGTTCCCTTCCCTGGGTGTGTGTGGTGCCTTGTCTTTTATTAGTTTCTTAGCAGCTTGAAGGTTGGACATCTTTTTTCATGTGTACTAGATATTGCTGCTTATGCTTGTCATTTAACATGCAACTCTACAGTATAATGGTTGCATGTGGAAAGGAGGGAGGCTTAGACTTGAGAAGGCAAAAGAACACTATCTTCTTCGCCTGAGGCATGAGTGGGAAGAAGATGCTGAACTTGCAAATAAAGCATCTAGTTATAGTGTTGATGCAGCTGAAAACTTTAGTTCTATGGAAAAGCCAAATAAAGTCCCTAACACAGAAAAGGTGCAGCTTCGGATTTTCTTTCCCAAACTAAATAAGGTGAGGCACGCCCCCCTTCACACCCCCTGTGCACACACATGCAGGTGTACGCCCTTGGGTACTACCTTTTTTGCCCTGCATTATACTTCTAGTTGTGGAGTATGATGATGCTTTCTGTATCAGAGTTTCAACTCTTACTTGATGCTAATTCTGACCACAGCAGTACTCCTTTCTAGGTGAAATCAGTGCCTTTCAGTGGAACTGGGAAGCACAAATACAGTTTCCAACGCGTTGAAGTGCCTTCTTTCCCAATCCATTTTTGTGATTGTGAGGACCATTCTGATCCTTGTCACGTGGGCAAAGAAAAACCACCTTGTGATGGGGAAACAGGGAGTGGAGGGATAAAGGATGAAGAGATTAACATGATGAGATCAGTGATGAGCAAGCTCTTTGAGAATGATAATTGTTCGAAGGGTGCATTTAGTGATGCTGGACTGGCTAAGGAAGGGGACAATTCTTTCAACTCAGTGGATGGTGGGTTAGGTAATGAGACTGAGGAAGATCATGTGAGTGATGAAGATAACCTCATATTAAACATGGTGGCTGGGGGAGACGACAGATTGACTTTGTTCGGGAGCCATAGAAAGGAAAAAAAAACTGCAACTCAGGTGTGCTTTAATGCTTAATAGGTGCAGTGCTCTTGTGTGTTTGCACTTTTCATTTTGTGTGTGGACTGTGGAGTTTCACCTGCTTTGTTAAAACCCTGACTTTCTCTCTCTTATCGTTCTTTGGATGTGCAGGAGTTAAGATTTAATGGTCCAGAACCTTCTGAAGGTACACCAGCTTCAAAAATGCATGACAGTAAGAAAAGGAAGATTATAACCTTTAATAAGAAGGAAAAACTACATAAGAAGCAAAAACTACATCTCAGTGAAGAGAGTGATGAAATTGAAATTGTGTCTGCTATCTCCAAAACCAAGGGGACTCCGCGAACCCATCCAAACGAGTCAGCGACTGACCTACAAGGTCAAAGCATGAAATCAGGATTAGGTTCCCAGCAGTCAACTAGCAATCTTTCATGGTCACAGAAATCTAAATGGAGAGATCTGGTTGGTGACAGGGGCAGCACTACATTCCACATGTCACAAATACTACCAAGTGTTGCTATTAAAGACGAATTACCAAGATCTCATGGTCTGAATGTGCCCTACCATACTGAAGAGAAAAAACAGGAACATGTAAAGCATGGGATTTTGGAAAGCCAACCAGGCCAATCAAAAGAGCCGAAAGACCTTGCTGAAGCTCCCGCTGCTCAGTCAAAGGTGGCTGCAGGTAAATCTGCCAGAGGTGCTTCATGGCTAAAAGAATCCACATGGACACAACTGGTTGGTGATGCAAACAGATGTTCATTCAGCATAACCCAGATTTTGCCCGACTTAAGTTTACGAAACAAAGAGCCAGTACAGTCCAACAGCATGGATGCTGCAAATTCGATGGATGGTGAACATTGCAATTTAATCAAGTCAAGTGGAGATGAACCCATAGGAAATTCTTCTAAGGCTTTAGGAGTATACGCAGAACATCTTACAGTTCCGTGTGGTTCCAATGAAGAGCAGAGCCCTACTGGTGTTTATGTTGAGCAGACTAATCATGAAAAGAAATCTGAGACTGTCACAAAGAAAGTTGAGGTTTCTGGTCCAACTTTTGTGAATAACCCCATTTCAGTGCCAAAGCATTCATCAACGGCAAACTTTAAAATTGGGGAAACTTGCTCTTTCATGAGGAGCGCTGCTTCCATGAGAGAATGGATGACCGCTAAAGCCGCTCTAAGTGGTTCGCTGAAGAAAAAGGACAATCAGAAATAGGTGCCTTGAGCTATAGGACTGTTTTCCAAGTGATGTTTGGAGCTAGGTGAACAGAGACTTATGAAGTGACTCCTAAAGAAGTTGGGTTTAAAGCTTGAGTTGAGTCGAGGAGATATTTGAACCAAATTTGGGTAAGATGCCTCTGGTTTCAAACTGTTAGATAGTGACAGGAGTACATGGAAAATTGTATGTTCCTGTTCAAGTTTGTGCCCCACTTGCCAGTTGAGTTATAATTTCACAGGTCTATTAATCAATAATGTCGGTGCACTTGGCATTGTAATTCAAAACTATTAAGAATGCAACTACCAGCATCTGGCTCATATTCTTGTACTATCATTTTGAGGGATGGTTGTAAATCCTATTTTGTTTTGGCCCATCTATTTTTTCCATGGTTGGTTGTCTTGTAAAGCACAAAAGTAACGGCGACTGAGATCTTAGTAAGTCATCATTGCTGTACCTTATTTTTGGCGATTGAGCCATCTGTTAGGTATGGCTAAAAGGACTTAAATGTTAAACAAAGTTGTGTTGCAAGTCATATTATTGAGCCTCAAACTGCACTGTTTGTTGTCTTGTGACCGTTAATTCAAGTGGTAAGTCTCTTCTTTTTGAAAAATGAATGGATTAGTAAAAGCACAGTATGAATGAATTTCATTCCTTAATTATACATGGTATACGCAAAACCTTCACCTAGAAATGGAAAAAGATCAAGCGAAAGAAATAATGTGCAAATGTTTTCCAGCACATTGAGGATTTTGGGATCTGTTAATGTTTGTAAACTCCGAATAATGAACTGGTGTTCAAATGGAAGGTTTTTTCCTGTCTGTCACGGGATATGGATCCTCTGGTGTATGGTAATCTGAATGAGGGAAATAGAATTTATAACTAGTCATTTACCAATATTTTATTTCATCTTAGTGCCCATTTTCAGTTCATCTGCAGTTTGCAGGCTCTCAGTCAACCTACCGGAATTCTGCATTTACCAATTCTTTCTCTTGTTATGTAATTTCTATCTACTAACCCATAAGAAGAGTGTTGATGCCAACTGATTCCAGGCTCATGTTCAGCATCTTAAATCGCGAAGCCACATAGTGTGAGCTTCCAGGGAAATCAAGATGATGGAAGTAAGGTAATCAGGTCAATTCCACCTGAGTGTTGTGTATCATCTTCACAACCAACACAGCGAGGCAGTGAAGAAAGCAAAGAAGGTGAAAGGGAAGAGGTTGACCCCGAGGAAGACATGGTTGGCATAGCCACAATATGGTTGCATCATTTGGATGTGCATGAGCTTGCCTCTAATGATGATATGGATGATGACACAATGTGATGATGGATTTGAAGTGTTGAATCCATCTTGTTGCTTTTATGTGTGATCTATCATAACACAATAGAAAAGATGATGGAAGCAAAGAAGCTGTCTTACTTATGTTGGCCAGAAGGTAAGATGCATATTACTTTTTTGGATATAAAGGCTTTGTACTGATCATTACTGTTATAGTGTTATTAGTCAATATTTTCTTTGAAATTTTTTTTGCCTTGTAATAGTTATTTCACTGCCCATCTATCTGTTCTATTTTTCAGGTTAAAAAGGGACCTCATTTGTTTGTACTGCAATCAAAGAGGTCATCCTTTCAGCAGCCTGGAAGCGGTGAGGGAACATACGGCTGCTAAGAGTCATAGCAAAGTGCATCATGACAATGGTGATGATGATGAAAAAGCAGAGTTACACCTATGTCATGATTATTGTAACAGGCTTTAGTTTTTCTGCTACTTATATATATTATCTCTTTTGCTGCTCATTTCAATTAGATAAACAATCTTGTAACCTTTTGTGCATATGACAATCAGTATCTTTAATCTGTAAGAGAACTTTAGCTTGTCATCCAATATCTTCTTCATATTGTAGTATCCATCCCTTTTTTGTTCCTCAAACTTGGTCACTTATTACATTGAGACGTAAGACCATATTTTCAATTTATCTTTGCTTAACAGTTTCCTCAGTAGAATATATTGGTTTCCAAGATGCATTGTTTGACACAAGATTTTGTTTGGATGATGAGAAACTATATCAGGAATTTAGAAAATAATATGTCAGATATTCATCCTCTGAGACTCTGGACGACAGATTTCACTGGAAGGGGTCTTAATTTGTTGAATTGATGGCTGTGAATCTCGGATGAATTGGGGCTGGTAAAAGGATCGAACTTCCGATTCTTAATTGATTTGGATGTGGGTTGAATTTCTGCATTTGCCAAATAAACAGATCAGATTAGATTCTGTATCCAAGATCTGTTTATGGGCCTAAATGTATCTGCTATTATCACCAAAAACCACAACCCTCCCATGCAACTAATCTTGCCATCTCTGTTGCACTGGCCTCAAGGTCAATGTCGTGATCTCCTTTTCTTTGTCCTCTCTGTAACAAAGTATACCCGACCTGAGATTGACAGGAATGGGTATCTTCATTCTCAGGTATAGGAGTATGGTTTTGACAACTGTGCAGTCAAGAGAGCATGTGGTGAGGTTAAAGGTGATGAATAGATTAGGTGTGGAGGCCAGGCGCTCAAAGTGCAGCAGGTAATGCTTTAATTTATGAGAAATTGGCACACCAACATTTGTGGATAGTTCATTATGTCTTTATATGTTGGCTAGAATTACCTTGAATTTTCTCATTTGTTTGTTTGATGGGGGGACGTAGAAGAAAGGGTTCGTAGGTTTGCTGTTTTCTTTTTGATAATCATTGGTTTAAGCCTGGATTTACTACTTTTGAAGGTTTGGGTAACAGTTCTTTATTTTGTTGGAATTTGGTGTTGAAGTTTTAGTTTTTGTTGTTTAAGTCCCAATCTGGAAAGAATTTGGTTTTCTTGATATCTATTTTCCTTTTGATTTGTAATTATTGGAGGATCTCTGCTGTTTTTGTCCTTGTGTCACAAAACATTTGTACTAAAAATTGAACTTGCTTGCATTTTGGGGTTTGTGTCTCACATTTGGTGGGATTTTATTGTTCCCATGTAAACTGGTTTTCTGGTGTCCATCTTTCTGCACCAATACAAATTGCAAGTCATGATACAAATCAGCCGCAAATTCAGCACTCAAAACTGAAAATATTGTGCACATAGCTGAAATTCATATCACTTAAAAATTGAAGTACCTCATTAAAATAAACAAAAATTTTAAGTAGCAGGTATCTTGTGTACCACTAAATGTTGAATAAGCTATTGAATAAAGATTTATAAAATCTTCATGATGGATCAATTGTGCGCAAATATTTTGATCACAATGTCTTGCACCCTCATTTCAACCATTCACACCCTGACACCCACCAGCTGCCGTTGCCACGACCAAAAGGTCCAAAACCACAAACACCACCACCACTTTTATCACCCCGTTGCCCCTGCCACCCCCCCCCCCCCCAAACCACCCCCATCCCATTAACACTGCACTACCCCACCCCACTCTACTGTTACTTTATCATCGTCGAGACCACCATCACACTGCCGCAACCACCTCATTAATACCATCCCACCACAACCATCACCACTAACCCCACCACCATATCATCATTATTGCGACCAAATACTGCCACTGGTATCATCATCACCATGGTAGTGGTGGTGGTGGTATCATGGTGGGGGCGAAGGTGGTGATAGTGGCAATGGAATGGTGGAGTTGTGGTGCTAGTGACAATGGTGGTGTGTGTGGGCCAGTGACAACAGTATTGTGGCGGTTGTGGGGATAGAGTAGTGGCAGTGGGGTGGTAGAAGGTAAAGACAATTAGAAAACTACTTTTTTTTTATAGATCAGCACCATCTACCAATATAATAGTTTGATCCAATCCTGAGTTTCAATTTCAATGTATACTAAGCAATCCTAGAGCTGATGTTTCTCAAACACTTCCATCTGGTTTGTAGCTTACCCTCAATTTTCCTTTAAAAAAAAAAATACTGCTACTAGTTAGGCCATCTCCACTTCCATCCTTGATTCAAATTTTAGTAGCATATGAGTAAAAAGCTTGAATTGATACAAAGCATTCCAATGGAGAAACTCAAATTTAAAGGAGGACAATCTCAAATTTAAATATAGACAAATCCAATTTTAAATAAGGGTGAGATATGACCATTAAAGTGTGAAATCTGACCATTACAGATTAAGTAAAAATTTGAGTCTCCCTTCATTTGACTAAAAAAATTAATCTCTCTCTATTTGGTATGAGTTTGAATGAAAGATTGTCAATTATTTTTAGCGTGTTTTTATTCAAATTTAGGTTTAAGTAAGTATTGGAGATGCTCTTAGTGACAGGAGTCATATTTTTGAGTTGTTACAGTTGGAATAAGGGGGAGCTTTGGAGAAGAGATGTTCTAGGAGGTATTTTGTCCTTTTGTTAAACTTGAAGCCTAGAAACTTCTCTTTCGTCTTTATCCACAATTACTTATGATTTCCATAGTGGTAGCTAGAGAAAAAGAGGGAAGGGGGGAATTCCTTAATGTTGGGGTTGAATAAAGATGTACCAGTTGTTGGGTGCTAGTGTTCTAATTTTTGATAATCTGAATTGGATTTATAATTGATGCAGTGGTAAATGGAAAAATACAAAGATGTCACCGTCTCTAAGCGTATAGAACACACACAAGCCTGAATCTACATGAAGAATAAGAGAAACTCTCTGAAAGGTTATGCTGAAGGTTTCCAAAACGAACCTAAATTCCAAGTATTAGTAAAGTTTCTAAAAACAATTGAACACATGTCTAATAAATTAGAAAAATTGACATAGTTTAGGCAACTAATTACTCTAGAATATTTCTAACTCAATTCTAAATTTAAGAAATAATAAAATAAAATAGAAATATAGAAATTGTCAATCTTGTTCTACAGTAGACCATTCCTTTTAAAAAAAAACTCGTTGTCGAATTTCCATTGTTTGAAATAATTTGGTAAGACTTCTTTTGTCTGCATCAACTTTATACTTCAGATTGATCTTTTCAAATACTCTCTTATGTGAATTTGATATGCCCTAAAAAATTGATAAAATAATCTCCTATTCAACATTATTTGGTAACCGTAACATAGCTTAAAAAATTTATTGGCAAAGATTTTGTAAAGTCAACTTTTATTTCATAACCAGATTTAACTCTGTTGACAAATCCATATTGCACGCACATTTTGTCCCTTCAACTCTCGTGAGAGTCAATAAAATCAATGTGAAAAATATTATTATCTGACTGTTCAAAATTATAAAGATGAAAATTCTCTAGCAAGTCGAAGATGTGATATTTTTCAACAGATTCTTCACGCGTCAGTTACATTATGCTCAACTTCACTATCCACAAGAACCAAGTAACCAAAGAAAATATTACCGCAAATAGGATTTTGTTATTTGGTTTGCAACATTTGCTTCCATGTGATGCTCAAATACATGCATTTTGCTTTTAAGCAAGTTGACTAAGAACTACTTAGTTCATCATAAACATCCAAGACCTTGTTGTTTACCTTCTCCTGAAGATTTACCTTCTACTTGATAACCTTCAACCGGCTCTCCTTCATCACCATAAACCCATTTGCTTTTATCTTCGTCTTCAATCTTCTCTTCTTGATATCTATCAATTGTTTTCTTATCTGAACCTATATAATTCTGAAGCATGACAAAATTGAAATATTCTCTTTCATTAATTTTCTTACTACTACAAGTGCTAGAAAAATCTCCACACATTGGGCTTCAATACACATGATTTAAGGTTGTAGTATTGACCATCGACTCGGGAGAGTTTTGAAACACATCGGTAGTTACAATATCGGGCGATATGATTTAAAAGAAATTATTGAATATGATGAGCTAGGAAGCACGGATACTCCTCGAGGGGTCGACATGGTGGTGTCGAACACTGTGTCCGATATGGATATGCATGGGACATAGCTGGACATGTGTCCGATACTTCCACAAAATGTCCTGAACAGGGAAGAAACATTTGTTGTGGACAAATACGGCTAGGATACGGGGTGATATGGCGGGATACGACCACAACCATGACTATATGTTGAAACTAGGATAAAAAAAAGGGGGGGGGGGAAGAAGACAATACATACGTAATTAGCCACAGTGACAACCACAGACCTCCTCCTCTTCGGGTAGGTATACTGTCTTCAGATCTCTCTTCGTCTTCGACCACACTCTCTCTCTCTCTCTCATGCTTGAGATCTCGACGCTCCTACTCGTACGGCTTGCCCTAGCTGCTGAAAAGCAACAAAACGTTTTTCTCTTCTTTTTTTTTTTCGGCAAGAACTTCCTCTAATTGCTTTTCAGCCCCTATTGTTTTGTTTTGTTTTGTTTTTTTCTTTGCCCTAGTTGCTAATATATTTTATGTTAAATTACAATCATACTTTATTAGTTGTTACCCACTACCCAATTTGGTTTAGCTACTATCCATAACATATTAGCCCACTAATCAAATTTAATATTAGCTCATTTGTCCAATTATAAAATATTAATTAATTACTCAATTTTATTATTAATGTTACTATATATATATATATATATATATATATATTATTTTAATTAGTAGTATATTCGTCGTACCAGTATCCAATATTTTGAGATTTTTTCGTATTTTTGTGTACGTATCTGTGCTTCTTTGATGACGAGAGATTTAGATCACATCACGGCGTCGCAGAACTGTATCATCCAATTTGGTGGCCATCACTGGGCTACTCGGGATCAACTCGGTAATACGGACAAATCGTTATAGACTCAAGATTTATACATATCATATAACGGTATCGTCTGAGTAGGTGCCGAGTCAAATACGGCTCGTATCAATATCGATAAATACTTTGAACCATATTGGTATGACACTTGAGTTATATAATAATCATTATAATGCGTAAAGGATTGTAACTCTATATTCCCTTGAGTTGACTGCGTTAATTACAATTCTTTTTGTTGTCTTACTAATCAATATGTACCATAATTGTAATCTTTGTCTTCATAAGCACCATAATATGAAGGTGCAAATCTTGCTTTTAACAATCGCTTCATTTTTGGCCAAGAACATACGTTAGATTTTTGTTAGTTTGCACATTACAATTTCACACACTGCCCCCAATCAAGGGCTTGACCCTTCAATTTATATACTACTAGCCCGACTTTTTTCTCCTTGGGAATTTCATTAGGCTTGTCAACATCTGACAAGACACGATTAACTGACACAAATCGACACGAATTAAGCGGGTTTGAGTGAGATTTTAACTGGTTCAGATGGTAAACGGTTTAACCCGTCAGACACGTTTAATAAACGGGTTGTGTTTGGGTGAGCCCTATCGACCTGTTTATCACCTGTTTACCTGTTTAGATATAATTAATGTAATAATAAATTAATAATTATTTTAAAAAATTAGGCAGAATTTTTTTTTTAGTGACAACCACTATATATTTTTAGTGACAGGTATATATATATTTTTTCTAGTGATAGGTATTTTTTTTTTTTAATTTAGTGATAGTCACAAAAAATATAATAATAAATTAAAACTAAACGGGTTAAATGAGTCGTGTTATCCGTTTATTAAACGAGTCGTGTATGAGTTTACATGTTTTTTATCCATCACACGTTTAACCCGATACGTAACCGTTTAACCTAACACGTTTGACACACCCAAATTTCATGATAGTCAAAGAATTGTTCTACTTTGGCTTACCAATCTAGAAAATATTCTTTATTAACGTAATCATCAAAACTGGATAGGTTAAGTTTCATAGAGAAATTTCTAAACTCATAACTATATCCTCTATGTATTCATAACGACCAAGTATACATGTAACATACACTTCATCATCATTATCACTTGGATCTACATCATAAATATGTTGTTGTCTGAAGGGGATAGGATTGAAATTTCGAACAAGTCGATCACGAGCCCTATCATTATTGCGAATCCTATTCCAATCTGCATCTTGGTATGTTCTAAAGGTTGATCAAGCAATCGAATCATGGGACTCACGGTGGGCTTGTTGGGATAAACGCCACGAACTAAAGAAGTTGGCTCTCGAAATAACTATTTTCTCATAATCACCGTTATAATGAAAGTTGTCACAATTTCACTGATTAGAAATTATGCCACGTTAGTCAAGACTCTGATACCAATTGAAGCAGCAGTAAAATAAAAAATACGAATAAATCACCATCTCTATGTGTATAGAACACACACATAAGCCTAAATCCAAAGGAAATATAAGAGAAACTCTCTGAAAAAACATATTATTCAATTAACTGAATAAAACTTGTAATACATTGGACAATTTATAGGAATCCCGAAACCCTGAAGGTTTTCAAAACGGACCTAAATTCGCAGTCTTAATAAAGTTACTAAAAACAAATAAAATGCAAATCTTATAAATTAGAAAAATTGACATGGTTTAGGCCTCTGGTTAGAATATTTTTGTAGGTGGGGAGTTAACAGAGGCTGACATTTGTGTCTATGCCAAGAATTATCGAAGAGGCAGCGTAGGATAAGTGGATGAAATGAAAGGAACTTGAATAAACTGTTAATAGAGGGATCAGTCAGTTCAGTTGGGCAGATGGTAGGGGGATAGAATAAATCACTATCCCGGTAGTAATTTGTGTCCACAGTGAGCAAGTAGTGTGAGTATTTATAGCACAGTGTCAGGGCAAGTTGGGTTGTCTCAAGGACTGCATGTCGTGACCCTCTGACACTCGTACCAACTCATAACTGCCTCAACCATGATGATACCAGTGACCCCTAATTGTGAGCCATATGTCCCAACATTAATTAGGCGGATGTGACATTTCCTCAAACGCAACTTGGACGTGGCCCCTTGGGAGGGTGCAATAACTTGGGTGAAATGGGGCCCCCAAGGTATGATTGCAATTAGTCATTGTGGGACCATAACTTTGAGAGGGCCATGTACACGATGCCCCCAATGCACTCTTACCCGAGGTACTTCCTTCTCTCTCTGAACTCTTCCTCTAGACCTTTGTCAAGATATCCGATAGAAAAAACTCACATTGTTTCAGTCCTTTAACCACCAATCCACATGTCCCATTATCTAATACATTGATCTGGACCAATGACATTAATTACCTTAGGAGTTCCTCTAGATTCTAGTCAAGCACGTCCTAGTGGGTAGTGAACCAAACACGAGAAGACCAATTCGAGTAGAGTAAACCTTCGAGACCTTACTCTAGGCTAAGGTTGACAATCATGCTCATTCGCCCCCGTTGCTCGATTATTCCTGGAGGAGGGTCGTCCTGCCCTGTTCCTAGGTGGGGACTCCTCCTCTTAGTACACTAGGCCAGTTGAGCAACGATGTCCAGTAAGTTGAGAATACCAATTCTGTCGGCTGTGCAATCTCAGTCATGTGCCTTGTTTCCGCAATGGGGGAGGCGAGTTATACCAAGGTTGCCCCAAACTTTTGCAGCGCCACTCTTGTCCTTTCACGATCAAGTGTCCATTTTGCTACTCTCAATGTGATGAGAATGTGTCTTGCCCTTACGTGACACTGGCCGCTGGTGTGACGCTAGCACCTACCACGATACTGTGGTGCTACAGCATTGGTGATGCTTGTCGTTGCCATGGCACTGTTGTCCGTACCAATCCTGCTCGACCTTATCGGACCCCATTGCCATAGCAAATGATAATTCCTGCCACTTGCCACTTGTCCTTTCATAATATGGACATGTGTCCTAAATTTATTGAGGACTACAATTCCTAACTAAATTATAAATTTAGGAAATAATAAAAAAAATAGAAATATAGAAATTGTCAATCTTGTTCTACATTAGTACTATTTTTAATCTTAATCTTTTATGGAACATTGGAGGAGGAACTTCTTCAGTTCTCTGATGTGGTAATTGTGTATAACTCAGCTCAACCAAAGTTTTGTGTTAATATTTTTGAAGTTGATTACTTGAACCATGTTTCGCTATTTTGCTCTGGTCATACTTTCTGACTGTGGACTCTCTGTCTGAATTAAAAAGATGCATTACTCTTTATTGCTAATTTGTCAACAGAAATTTTCACTCCAGCACTCCATATGTCAAGAAACTTTACTGCCGCTGCTTTTTCGATGGTGAAGTACAATTAATTACTTCTTCTTCTGTCAATTGCCCCTTCTTATTGAATGGTGCTTGTTGGTTGTCAGAAAGAATATTCTGTCCAGGAATGCTAGAAGTTTATGCTTTTTTGTTTAGATGCAACATTTCTTTCTTCTATGCTTTGTATCTTCAGCCTATTTATTTGTATCATATTCACTTGTTTAGGCATTGTCATATTTCTTGTCATTACTGACTGTGAGGCACCATCTGACAACTAATATAACTTCGGAATAATCGTTTGTGTGTTTTTCTAGGGAAGTAAACGACCGTGTATTTCATGCAGCGACATTCCTGGGTAAGTGTTATTCTTCAATAATTTTGGTCCCCTTTTATTCTATTCCAATAAAAAATTTTGCTATGTCCAAACATTGAAATGAGATGTGCATTCCATCACGGCATCGAATCCCAATTGTCTTTCAAGTTTCAACGTATATTGCATTCTGATTCGTTTGTGTTGTTAACTTATTCTATTTCCATTCAGAAGCATTACATTCTGATTCTGATTCTCCATTTGACATTTCATGTTAATATTTTATAGTAGATGAATTATAAATAACAAATAATTACAAAGAAAACAGATATTGCCTATAAATGATAAATACTAAGTTTATAAATAAATCAAGAAATCTAGGTCTCTATGTCATTACCTCTACCCTATTGGAGTAGTCTTGATTTGGCTTTGTAGTTTAAATGTCGTTCTTCCTTTGTTGCTTACAGAACTTGATCTTTAAAGCATCTTAACCATGAAATTAGGTTGAAATTTATAACAAGACTTTACGAAATTAGTCAGTTATAATCAATTTCCTAGCAATCTCCCCCTTTGGCAAACTTTGAAAAATACAAGAGTAAGAAATTTAACATTACAACTCGAAAACCACCGAGAATAAAACAAATTGTAGATAAATCTCAACACTCATTGTACAAGCCTCAAAATCTCAATATCTTTGTACAATATATCGATAGCATTTGAATTTGATACAACTTTTCCAATGTGATGAAAACTTGTATGACTTAGTTTTAAGAATGAAAAATAGTGCAAGAAGAACTGTAATAAGGAGTATGCCTAACTTCAATCGTTATAGAAGAGGAAAAGCTGTTTTTTATATCATCTGTATTATTTTAAAGGTCAAGCACCAAGAAAAACTGGTGAGATTCATGTAGTATGACCAATGTTACTTTAAGGTTCTACACCTGTGCCTTTTGGGATTTTTGTAGTTTTAGGATTCAAAATCATCCTTCTTGATTCTTGAATATTTTAATGTTACGTTGCTATTTAGGAAAAACTACAGATCTAATTGTGATTAAAGAAAATATAATGTTTACCTTTGCTTCATAAAAAAAAATATTGGCCTTTTGGCCTTGGTAGATTGCCTAAGTCGTCCTCCAAGGCTGGAATTGGCCATGTGCGTGTTATTCCGAACAAAATATGGTTAATAAACAGATTGAATTGATTTGATGCTGTTTCATCTAACCTGATTGATTAAGTAGTTAAGTAAGTTGCATGTAGGATTGACTAGTACTCGACTTGACCTCCAAATAATACAATGATTCATATATGATACAATGCAACTCAATTACTTGGTTCACTGTTGTTCCTGATTTTTGTTGTCCTTAATTTGTATATGGAAGCAAAATAGATTATAAGAAGCTTCTGAACTTTGATGCTCTTACAAGGAGCCTATATATCCTTGATTTCTGCTAACAAAAAGAATATCCTACAGACAATGCCAATTGCCAGAAATTATTATTCAACTGGTCGTTTAGACCTATGTTTATGGGTAAGAATAAAAACATATCTTGATGTCTTACTATATAATGCTGCAAGCCACATGAGTTCAGCATGACCCGCAAATATGGCCTTATACAATCTCTCTGTGCTCGATGCTCTCGACACTGCACGAATGCAATGGTATCATGTCACTGCCATTTTGATTGCCGGGATGGGCTTCTTCAGTGATGCTTATGATCTTTTTTGCATCTCCACTGTCTCCAAACTTTTGGGTCGTCTTTATTATTACGACCCATCGAGTCGGCATCCCGGCAAACTTCCTCCTACGGTTAACAATTTTGTTGTTGGTGTTGCCCTAGTTGGTACCTTGATCGGTCAGCTTGTCTTCGGCTTCCTTGGTGACAAACTAGGTCGAAAAAAAGTCTATGGTATCACTCTAATTCTTATGGCCATTTGTTCCATTTGCTCTGGCCTCTCTTTTGGCTACAGTCCCAAAGCTGTGATGGTTACCCTTTGTTTTTTCAGATTCTGGCTCGGATTTGGAATTGGTGGAGATTATCCCCTCTCGGCCACGATCATGGCTGAATATGCTAACAAAAAAACACGTGGGGCTTTTATAGCTGCAGTGTTTGCCATGCAAGGTGTCGGTATCATCTTTGCTGGGCTGGTGTCCATGATCGTTTCTAGTATCTTCCTATCCGAGTATGGAGGACCAAAATTCCGTGAAAACCACATCCTTTCTACAGAACCTGAAGCAGATTACGTATGGCGAATTGTGTTGATGCTTGGGGCTCTTCCAGCTCTTCTAACTTTCTATTGGAGGATGAAGATGCCAGAAACAGGTCGTTACACCGCACTTATAGAAGGGAACGCTACACAAGCTGCCATTGACATGGCTCATGTTCTTGATATCGAAATTCCAGCAGATCAAGACAGGTTATCACAGTTCAAGGCCGCCAATGACTACCCATTACTCTCAAGAACGTTCCTTGAACGCCATGGGCGTCACCTAATTGGTACGATGAGCACATGGTTTTTCTTAGACACAGCCTACTATAGTCAACACCTAACTCAAAAAGACATATTTCCAGCTATGGGCCTCACTCAAGCAGATGTTGATGTAAGTGCTCTCAGAGAAATGTTTGAGACATCACGAACCATGTTTGTCGTTGCATTGCTTGGCACATTCCCTGGGTACTGGTTCACCGTCTTTTTCATTGAAACCATCGGTCGATTCTTCATTCAACTTGTTGGGTTCTTCATGATGTCCATCTTCTTGCTGATTATGGGAATCAAATATGATTACCTTAAAGAGAGGGAGAATAACTGGATCTTTGCAGCTTTGTATGGATTGATCTTCTTTTTTGCGAATTTTGGCCCCAACAGCACAACCTTTGTTCTTCCGGCTGAGCTTTTTCCTACGCGATTGAGATCAACATGTCACGCATTGAGTGCCGCTTCTGGGAAGGCTGGGGCAATGATTGCAGCGTTTGTGTTGCAGAACTACGCCATGAATGTTAACCAAATTAAGCACATAATGGTTTTTTTGGCACTTACAAGTATGTTTGGGTTCTGTTGTACGTTTTTAGTGACCGAGACCAAAGGCCGATCATTAGAGGAAATTTCAGGCGAGAACGGTGCTCAAAAGGAGACTAACCCGGCTACTAAACTGCGAATGGCTCCTGGCCGAGAAGCCATTTAGCTAGGAGTGATGGCAAGCAGGCTTCTTTGTTCCGCAAAAGAGTTTGTTCGGCAGGTCTAGCACTTTCAGCTCAACTTTTTTTTTTTACCAAACTTTCAGCTCAACTTGAAGGTTGTGTTTTGTACAGTGTTTTTTGTATCTTTCACACATCTTCTAGTATTCTAAGAATAATGTAACATGAACTTAAAAAATTAAATATAAAAAATAAACGTGATGATTACAACTATTGAATAAATAGTGGGTCTCAATAAATATTGGGACGTATAGTGAAATTAATAGTTATAATTATCAATTCTACTTTTTATATCTATGTAGCATTGCTCAGTAAGTAATTTGCATGATAGTTAACAAGAAATACATCTTTTTTATTTTTTAACTAAAATGCGACATCTATGATAATATGCACAAATTAGGAGATAAATATGTGCGAGTGTGCAACGGCGGAGCCAATATTCAAGTTTAATAGGACTAAAGAAATTCATCAAAGTGGCTTGAGATTTTTGTCTATGTGAGGTTTGAAGAGGATCAAATGTACACAATCAATAAGAAAAAAAAAGTTAAAATCCAAACGTGAGAAGATATATTAAATTTAAGACTAAATTATTTGACGAAACTAATTTATATTTATCCTAAATAAAATATGAGCAAAAAAACAAAAAACAAAAAAACATCCAAAAATATATAGTCAGTATATGTTGGTTATGACATTTTAGTTATTTCTTATTCAATCAAAAAATAAAACATTTGTTTTAGCGGGGCAATGGGCTATTGTCTAACAAAAAATTAAATATTTAGTTCATGCTATCAATTTTCAAGAAATTAGGGATGATAAATTTAATAAATTGAACAAAGTAATGGGTAATGGATAAAGGAGATTAAAAAGTAAGGGGGCATATATGTGTATGTACAAAACTAGATTCAGACGAGGGATATGTCTATCTGTTCAAAAGTCAGGGGTATTGCGTATGTGTACTAGGAATTATCCGTACTTAAAGACATTACGTAACAAACAAAAAATCACAAATAATTGTCGACACTTGGCAACCCAATCTTTTTTTTGTTCCAAGCCAAAACTAAATTAGACCTTTTATATGTAATTTTCTTTCTTTAAAATTGTTCTGGCTTATTGTGCCTCAATAATATTCTCTTCTTCTTTCTTTTATTTTTCTATGATTAATCAAAGTTAATAGACACCACTACAATCTACATTCTAGAGGATTTATGATGCACATATTCACATCAAGATAATTTTATCTATTAAAGATCCACATATAACAAAAATTATATGTGACTTTGAAAAACATCTAACAAAAACACACATTTATCGAATTTATCTACTGAAAATTCACATATAACAAAACACGTGTGTCCATATTGCAAGATCTGACAATAGAACAAAAAATATGCATAGAAATAGAGAGAACCAAACCTGCTTTTGTAATGCTAGCGTTGAGTTGAGCATAGCTTAAGAAGAAAGCTTGATTGTGAGAGGCTGAGAGCATCACTATACACAAAAAACAATATACCCCAATACAATAATGAATGTCTCAAAAAATTATTGACACTAAAGAACTCTTACAATCCTGCTAAGATCTAAACCAAATATAAAATCATGAAAGATCAACCCAAATAATTTTTAAAACAGAACCAATTCATCAATTGCTCGATGTTTGACTCAATCTACCAAGAACATAATGAACATGTTTGGAGCTGGTTGAAATAAGTTGATTTTGTAAGCTTTAGAGTAAGATAAGTAGACTTGGCTTTTGGATCCAGTTTATGCATTAGCTTTTTGGTCCTAAGACAATTTATTTAGGCTAATTCAAGAAACTAATTTTATGAGATTTTCTTCCGACTTTTTGGAATTTTCTCATGGGTTCCACATAACTTTTTAGTTTATTATATTCATAAAATATTATTAGTGACATAAAAAAATTTAAATTCATATTTTGGGAACTATTATATATATAATTTATACATACATGTAAATATTTTTTTATTGACACAAAAAAATCACTCCAAACAGATTTTTCCAACTTTTTTAGTTTTTTAAAGAACATCTCAAACGATTTTAAATGACTTTTTTAACTCTGATTTTTTGCGAAACTTTTCAAACCGCAACTTTTTACCTAAAAAAACCAGCTCCAAACAGGCCAATAAGTACAAATATTCGACTTAAAAGAACATAATAACAATTATCAATACTAGTCTGACCAACAAAACATACTACAAATGTTTCTGAATATTCATAATAGAATTGAAGATAGTATAGCATCACAGGATGCATTTTGGTTTTTTAAGCCAATGCTCGTAAAATGTGATTGAGGGTGATTCAAAAATTAAAATATATGGGCAGGATCACGTTTGGTTTCATAATCATATTAGCATACCAAATACCTTACAGATTTGTCAAACAGGCTATCACGTATCAATTTGGTTAAGACAGGGAAGCGATTTACACAACTCCAAAATATCAAAAACTCCGTGGGTCTGTTTGATTGGTTTTTTGGGAGGAGTTTGAATTGGTTTGTTTAAATCTTTTCAAATCTAAATCTTTTTTTATAAAGAAGAGATTCAACATTCAATTCCGTTTATACTCATGTTTGGTATACGCACAGATATATCACTATTATGATAATTTATTTATATATAAATGACTATTGTGCCCCTTAATCAATCTAATCCAAACACCTGTATGTATACGTACACTTTCTTGTGTCTTTATGATTTTATTGTTTTATTATTTAGGGTATAAATATTTAATTATTTGATTATTTGGGGTATAAATATTTGATTATTTGATTAATATTTGATAAGGTTGCCCAAAGATGAGGTTGCAAACTTTGACGCAAGCATGCGTGCTATCTTTCCGAGATTTACTTATAATAAAAACAGCTTGAGGAGTCTAGGGTGAGCAATTTGTAAGAGCATCTCCAACCATGACTCAAATTTTTATTTAAATTTAAGTTAGTATTTGAGTAAAAAACTTGATTTGATACAAAAGACTTTAATGGACAAACTGAAATTTAAAGAAGGAGAAATCTAAATTTAAATGAGGGCAAACCCAAAATTAAATGAGAGTAAAGATGATCATTGGATCTTTAAAAGAGAGTAAAATATCACAATTAAAGATTTGGTTAAGGATTTGAGTCTCCCTTAATTTGAGTGAAAAAAAAAAGTCTCCTTTAATTTTGTATAAATTTGAGTAAGAGTTGGAGCAAGTTTTTTAAATTTTTTTACTCAAATTTGAAGTTGAGTCTAAATTTGAATCAGGATTAGAGATAGTCTAATACTTCAAATCAAAACACAAAAACTATTTGTTTAATCTATTAGAAAGTGTCAAAACATTACAATAACCAAACTAAAAGAAAATTAACTCCCAATACATAGCTAGGTATGACTTGTTAACACTCAAGTCTTATTAGCTAATTTACCCCAACCCACATTCCCCTAAAATAAATAAAGCTGTGATACGTAATGGGTGAGTTTGTAATATATCAAATCCAACACCAACTTCTTCTTCACATCATAGTTTAGCATACAAATTTTGAAACTTCAACCGTTAATATATATTTAAGCAAATAGTCTCATCCTTATAAAGTTGTAGTCTCAATATCACATTCAAACCAGGAACATAGTATCCTCTCTCATAATAGGTTGGACTCTTTGTTGATCTCTATTCTGCCATAAATACTCAATCTGCAAGAACAATTGAAAACCAATCAATCAGCAAGAACAATTGAGAGAGAGGTTAGATAATAAACAATTTAGGAATGTGGAGAAGAAGAAGAGAAGTCCTTGTGAGCAGATTGTGCTCTGGGTGTGTGCATGCGTTGCGTGTTGTGTGCAGTTGTGTTGTCTGGGGCGACGTGGGTGTAGGGGGGAAAAAGGGCGAGCAGCAGAGGTGGGGCGAGGCGACGGTGGTGGGGTTTTGGTTGGTGTTGGATTCGAAGAGAGGATGAGAGGGAGTGTGAATGACAGTAGAATAGAAAGAATAAGAGAGGGAGAGTTACCTCGTGATGTCGAGGGAGGGTGGCAGTGGCTGTCATCGTTGGTGTGACATCAGAGAGAGAGAGAGAGAGAGAGGGGGGGGCAGTGAAATTAGGGGAGGGAGGAGAATGTTTTACAATGATCAGTTGCTCTTTGTTTTTGTATTCAAAGCTCGTTTAATCTTATCATATAAATTAAATAATGTCCATCGGACTGATCACCCAACCACAACCACTCATCATCCAACCCCTTGCCACAACATCCCAACACTTCCACAATTGCTCACCATCACCAACACCTCCATTTTAGCTGTGCGTGTAGGATCTTGCACAATATAAACACGAGAATAGATCTCTCCCGTTGTGAACACGAGTCAGTCAATCGAATGGTCAACCTTGCTAGGAGGAACAGACCGTGAGGACCGGTGGTAGCCTGGAACGGTAATGGGTGACTTTTGTGGGTCACCGGGATGATCCTGTAAGGCTAGGGAAGATTCCTGAAACAGAGAAAAACGAGTTAGGAGGGCGCCGGAGTGTTTTCCGGGGTATCCCCTTCGACGATCAAGTCAGTTTTTTGAGAGAGGAGAAGAAGAAAACACTGTATAGGTTTGAGAAAAGGTTTTTTCGTACCTCATCATGCGTTTTGTGAAGAGTATTTATACCTTAAAAACTCATGATTGCTGTCCGTATGGTCAGTAGGTGATCATTAGAGGCGGGTAACGTGCACACTGATTTTTAAGAGAAATGACCTCTTCCTTAACTGCTCGGGACCCCAAGCAACCAATGCATCACCCTCGGTCTGTTGAGCATTTAATGACCTTCACTTGGCTGGGATATATTAAATGCTCTGTCACAAGATCATCCCTTGTCTTTCACTTCTGGTCTTCACGCATTAAATGTTGTCTCATCAAAGGAAAGGTGCATTAAATACTTGTTTTCCCAAGTCGTGTGTCAGCAAGGGCATTCTGGTCTTTTTGCCTCTGATCTGACACAGTACGCCACGTGCCAGCTCCCCTTTGGTTGAGCCTTCTGCTTTCCTGTGCGTCATGACACCATCTAGGTAGGACCAGGTCATGATGACTAATCTAGCCTAACCCAGACTGATGATCTGTCTATCAATAGCCCTGCAGGAACAGGAACGCCGATGTAGTGGTACACATCGGTGCCGAGGTCCTAGTACGGTCAGGGTCGATGTACCCCCCCCCAATC